AATCCGTAATAAAAAGGTTATATTGCTTTGGATAATGTGGAATACTATGTTCAAAAAGAGAAGCCATTCCTCTCGTTTTATTAGTAATTTATTGAAATATATTGTTAAAAAAAACAGCATAGATGTTGTACAGTTATATCAAACAAGAACATTAAAAATTTAGGTAGGTATCTATAAGATAAATAGTTTTCAAATATAAAAATATTCCAAATATTTATAATTTAATTAACAATCATTAATATCTTTAAACCCAGTTTAATATTTATTTATATAACACACATATAAAACTAAACTAGAGAAATAGATAATAACATATATTTATAACTATAGAGTAGTATTATGATGTAAAAAAAAAACGCTACATACAAATTCAACTTTATCATATTAGTTGGAAAGTTTTAATTTAGCTTAGAGCGCCCTAGCGCGATCCTGAGCGCTAACAATAAACGAGTTCAGAATATTCCCGAGTGCATACTGCAGTCCGGAACGCGTTGAGTATGGCGAACGGTTTCAAATTAGAACATACTTTGCAGTAAATTTTGCGGAACAAACACTGCTTTTGTTAACATGCTTAAGGGTGTTACGACTTTCATGATTTTGATTATTATTGTTCTACTAGATCAGGGGTCGGCAACCTTCAGCTGGATGCGTCTCTTTAAATGTATAATTTCGGCTCTCAAGTTCCATTCATAATAATAATATACCTGTAGCATGCAACCCTTTAAATCGATCAATCGTTGATTACTCACTCATACTATAATAGTTACCATTGAGATATGACTTGGAGATAGATATTCAAAATCGTTTGTATAAATAAATTATATCTAAGATATACTATGAATAATATTGAAATGAAATCTTTCAGTGGCTCTTTGAGAAATGTGAAAATTTATAAATTGCAGCTTCATACTATTCTGTCTCAAAAGGTTGCCGGTCCCTGCACTAGCTTCCTGAATGAAAATAACAGTTATTGTCCATTCATTTACACATTACGCTTAGTTTAAAATTGTACTGACAGAGGAGTAGAAAATTTGGCACACTTAAAGTTTATTTGGAGAAACGTGCAAAATGCTATTATTTTTTACAATAACGCTTAAATTAATCGAGAAATCAGTACACGCGCTACCATGAAATACATTAAACACTTTTATTTACTGAATAAGTAACAACTAAAAAAGGTTCTTGAAATCAAACTAGATGTCGTTAAATACTTACCTACATATATCTATAGTAATTCTCATTAAAATTGTCTGTGATAAACATTCCGCTCTGAAGTAATGAATATAGTAATAAAAAAATATTATTATGAGGAGCTCAATGGTGCAGTGGCCAGCGCGCTCGATCTGCATTACGGTTATTATGCAACATTAGCAATAACCGCTCATAAAATGGGTGACAAAAAATTTTACTATCTCGAACTCCTCCGTGCTTTAAGATTAATGTGAAGCCGTTAATCATGGCTATTTCTGCAGTTGTTAATAGCCACCAATCCGTACTGGGCCCACTTGGTCATGGCCCATTACCCATATTCGATTTGATTCTATTCCATCCATAGAGAAGGACTAGAGCCGCAGCAGTGTAATAGGCTGGTGATGATGTGATAAATAAAAAATATATAATATAGTAATAATATTATTACATTATATTTGGAGTATCGAAGTTTCATAAATAACCCCCGTGTCAGTTTAATGTCTAAGTTTCGAAAAAAAATTTTATTGCGCAAACACATTCAAATTGAGTATTGACAAATATATGCTGAACATCGAACACCGTCACCACCATTATTTCACAATCTAGTGACTAATTCGATTCAATAGTATTTTTTTTATTATCCCTCAAATAACCATAAAGAAGATTTTTATTAAACATAAAAATCATAAAACGTGATAAGTGCGAATAGAGATCATTATTAGCCTATTTTAATGTCCTCGCTGCTGGGTGTAAGCCTTACCTTCCCAATAGATATAGGGAGAATACACTACGACTAACGTGATCAGATATTCCGTTTCGTATAGGGCGGTCCCATGTTTGGTTGTCTAAAGGCAACCCGGCACGCAAAAATGTGTCTCGTTTCTAGAACGATTAGAAAATTTTATGGGACATACACTGTTGGTCGCCTCCAAAATAAGGAGGAGGGAAAGGCAAAAACCTGCATTAGTTATTTATACGAAATTTATTAGTTTTTCAAACACTTTGAGGTTATTTGGAAGTGTTCGTTTAATGCAGCTCGGCTTATTACATTATACCAGAAAGGGGCCATATAAACACTATGATATATGTCACGTTACTTTCCCCCACACCGTTAAAAAAAAACACATGTACCGTTTTGATTATGACCCACCAAGCGGGTTAGTTAGATGGTAACAACTACTAGATGCAACTGGCCTAACTTTCCGATACACAGAAAGCTCGAGATATACTTTTCAAACTTAGTCGAATTGTAACTGCTTGGCTACCATTCAACTCTTTTGAATAGTCCATCATCATTCTTTTAGATACTTCACAAAGATTAGATTTTTAGTTTCTTTGTTTTTTTTTTAATATTAAAACCTTATTTAATATTGGAAAATTAGTTATTGAGAACTAGAGAAGAAAACAAATTTGTCGGTATATTGGCCACATTGGCGCTAAAATTCAAAATAATTTTCTACTTGCATATACTTTTTAAATGTTAAGTAAAACAAAGGTAAACATCAACCCATGGGAACATTATTTAGTACAATAAAAAAATAAATCAGTTTCATAAAATCGATTAATGCTTATATTTGATTAATTTTGGATTTACAATGCTATACTGAAAAATATTTTTAATGAAAACGCTTAAAAAATCCACTTTGTCCCTGGCATTCTGAGCTAGGACTCGAACTCTTGACCTTTCGCAATCCGGGCGACTGCTTTAACCACTGAGCTACTCAGGACCTACAGACCTGTCGGATTTTTTAAACACTTGTCACTTTTTCTCTACTACAGAGCGTATTTTCATCCATGTTCAGGCAATCCACTCAAAGAGCCAAAAGAAATATTTTTACAAATATTTAACTCTATAAAGATGAAAATTTGTTTTATTTATTATATTTGATCAATTTTACATTCACAATACTATACTGAAAAATACTTAAATAAACCACTTTGTGCCTAGCGCTCTGAGATGGGTCTCGAACCCATGACCTTGCGTAATCCGGGCGGCTACTCTAACCACTAAGCTACCCAGGACCTAATTGGACTGTCGATTATTTTAATTTCTCGTTACTTATTAAAAATATTACCAGTTTGTAGAATAAAACGCCGCTGGTTGTTTAAATTATATTTACTCGATGTTAATTGAAAATACAGATACAGAATATTACGGTGACTATATTAATATAATAATTATGTTAACGTCGCCCACGCCGTTGTTTGAGTTCGTTTCCATCTCAGAGTACCAGGGACAAAGTGGATTTTTCAAGCAATTTTCATTAAAAAGGTTAATACTAACCTACAATTTAAATAGCCTTTAGTTCCATATCTTTAATAATAACTGAGTGCTACAAAACAAACCCGAACACATTTATATTGAATTTTGCGCCTGTTTGACTTAATGTTACCACGTTGTTGACTGACGAAGTTTTTATAAATACTGAAGGATTCATATTAAGCAATATATTTGTAGATTTTAAAAAACATTGAAGTATTTTACGCATAATGATATACAGATATGGATTTTCAAATAAACAATTAACCACGATAGAAATAAAATATCATTATTATTCTAAATGTAGACAGTAAGGCATAAACTCCCGATCATGATTATTAAATGTTCATAGAAACTGAATTCTGAAAATTTATTAGTATTCAGGTGATAGGAAGGGAGACACCAGACATTAACCTTTAAAAAGGGGTCAATGCGTGAAGTTGTGTCGCCTAATATCTTATTCTCGACGACGTTTTCGAGGAGGGTTCTGTTTGGGAACACAAAATACAGACTTTGAATATTGATGGTAGACCTCATTATGAACTCAATTAAACTTGTCTAATGAGACTTTGATTTGTACTTAAGCCCGTTAAATTTGGGGTTGAAGGTATAAAGGCAAATAAGGTAATAGAAAATAGGACCTAATATATAACTATAATATTTAACACCATAATATTAAAGTATAAAGCATGTTAATTACGACTTTGACGAGTCTGACATTTTGTTTTAAATAATTCAATAACATTTACATGTTTACATTGATATACTACTTTGTGTGATTTGGTGCAACATTTTCTCTTTCTTTTTGCTTTAGTTAACGCTTATGAATATTTCGAGAGTTAATAAAAGTCATATAGTCATAATCTATTTCGAGATTCAATCCAACACAAGAGGAAACAAGTCAAATCCGGAATCGTTTCAGTTCCTTTCTTGAGTCGTAACAATAATACTTCAGAGGAAAATCTACTTCCCAAGTACATTCTACGGGAGACTGGAATGGCGAGTGACTTTGTCAGCTGAATAATAAATGCTTAGAAGTCGACGTGCACTTTTATTTCTGTTTTACTTGCCACAGCGGGGTCTAAACACATGGCAATAAAATCTGATGAACAATCGTGAGAGTTGTGGTTCTACTCATAAATAAAAAAATAAAAACAAAATTGACCCTTCCAAAGAGAAAAAAAAGTAAATGCACAAATACATATGATATATATTAAATATAATATTAACTTTAGAGGGCGAAAAAGTAAAATCAACACAAATTTTTTATAAACTAGAAGTATATGTTACATCAAGCGTGAAGTTAAAAAAATAATATTTATTATTTTTGATTTTATTTCAAATGAACATATTTACATGAAACACGATATAAACACTGTCCACGTTGTGTTTAGTTAAGTACCTATTCTAATGATTCTCAAATAATAATGTTACTCACATGAGCTTGAATACAAAAGATGCTGCTTGCTTTACGTGTACAGTCTGACAATACCAATTTTAGAGTGTCGTCGTCGCCGAGTAACAATAGTTAGGTATACACCAGTATTGTTCAAATTTTACGACGTCGGATATCGGGAACCTTGTTATATCCAGTGGCTTTTTCGTTCTTTTCCGAATCTGTATTATAACATTTTGATTTTTAAATTTGTTAAGACATTTTCTTTTTAACTTTAGCGGGAAAAATTACGGTGGGGGAAGAAATTATACTTTTTCAAAGGTTTATGTAGAAACCCATCGTAATATAATCCAGCAAGTGGTATAAATTCATTTGAATGTGTAATAGCATCAGAATTAGAAAATCTGTTCCATCTGTCATCATCGATAGGTGGTAGGTCATTTGTAATATAATTTGAGTTATGTTTTATATCAGTTGCCGTATAATAATTTGTTTTCACAGAAATATCAATTGATTTTGTATTATTATTCGTAGAAAAGTTCTGCCATCGTGTGTCATTTACTGCAGGTAATTTGGGAACTTCTGTTGTTATAATTATAGTGTTAATAAACTCATTATTGTATTGAGGATATGAATAGGGGCCATTAGACTTTGTTGTAGTACTGGTGGTCGTTATGATATCAGTAGTAGTAGTAGTAGTAGTATGCATTTTAATTGTTTCAGTTTTATTAATATCTTCCTTAACCGTAGCAATGGTGTCTGTGCTACTTTCATCAACAACAGTGGAGTTATTCGTACTATTTTCTTTTTTATTATCTTCATCCTTTTGAAAATCTTGAATGGTCTCTACATCTCTTTTAACTGCTGGTTTTCGAAATACTTCTATATCTTCATTGTCATTGTTCTCCACATTTATCATAAGTTTATCAGGCAGAGATGCTTTATTATCACTTTTTGTATTGTATTTTTGGTTACAGGTTGTTTTATCAATGCTTACAACTTGTCGCTGATTTAAAATTGGCATGATAATAATAGCGGGCATTTGATAAGACTTGTTATGTTTTAATTTATATCCATAGTAGCCAAATAAATCTAATATGTTGTCACTTTTGTGTTTCTTAACTAGTTTACTGTCAGCTAAAAGCAAAATTTGAGATTTAATATTGATAACGAGATTTTTGTAAGGGATGACTATTTTGTTATACTAGTAATTTAATACAAAATACTGAATACTTACAGAATAATAAGACACTAACAAATATTGTAATCGATAAGAAACAACACAACCGAACCATTTTGTTTATTCAAATGCGGGTTTTGCGATATTCTACATTCAACAGTTTATCAATAGAAATGCAGTAAACGTAAAATTTTAAGATAACTTTATACTTTCAACTCCTGAAATTGGTTCAGTTATTTATGAGTATAAGACAGATTTTATAAATCAACTTATTTCCTTTGCTATTTTGAGGAGCTTTTAATATTATTCATGAGATTATCAAATGATATAAAACCTACCTACACAGCAATGAAAATGTATGTTTAGTTTAGAGTAAGAAGAATTTAGTTTTAAACTGTTTTCTAACACATGGTTAATTTGGTAATATTTTATTTTATGAAGACATTTAAAAACAATGTCCAATATTGCATACAATTTAATTGTGACTCGGTTGTCGGTACTTATTTCCAATTTTATTTTAGCATTAAAACTGAAAATATAAAATACAATAAAAATAATTGAGTTCAATATTTTTATTCAATTTAACCTGCTTGTAATCTTTGCGTATACTAAGCGAAGTGAAATCGAAAATAAACAATGAAGGATACGAAAAATGCGGGCTTGTTAGTACTTAGATATTATTCTTTCATAATAATTTGAACATACATTTAACCAATTACGACTTATTTTGAAATCGTGTGAGTAAAGCAACCTATATATTCTATTCCTAAAGTAGAAGAATCCGACATAATCCAAATTAAAAATAATCTTTAATGTAACTAAGATTTTTTAAAATTTGGCTAAAAAAACCGACATATCTATATTATATTATTCAACCCAAATTTTCATTTAGGGCAAAAAATACTATTTTTATTTAGCGTTTTAACTGCTTTGACCTTTTGATTTTATCAGGAAGACATAACTATTAAAATGTCTAAGTTCTTCAAGAAGGGCATCAATAAGCTACCAATGTGTTGGCAAAGATGATTGCATGGGTGATTACTTTGATTAATAAAAATAAAAAATATAGAAAAAATAATACGCTTCATTTATTTAATGAAAAACGGCAGTTTAGTAGGACGAATATTATCATATCACAAAAAATACAATTGACATTTAGCGTGTATCTTAAATTTATGCTTAATAATGAAGTTAGCGGTTAGTTAAAGGTATTAATTATTAATATATTAGGTATTAATATAATAAGACCTTTTTATAAACATTCTGTTATAACTTGGCGAGGGCCCGTTATATGAAACTAACCTTACACTAACTAACCAGCTTCAAACTGAACAACAAAGAGAATATTAAAAATAAATGCCAATAATTATAGTAACTAAATTCCTAAAAATTTGTACATTATATTTAGGCTTCTCTTTTATATGTCAAACGTGACGCCCATTGAGATATCTGACGCAACGCGTAGCACTATGTGCATGTCATGTTTTGGTATCAAGTAAAAGCCGTCGTCAACAGAATTGTGCCCGAGGCTCATGTCAACTGTCGTACAGCCTGATGTCAGCAGTGTGCCACGTTGCATGTGAAATTATTAATGGTCTGTACTCTCTACCCTACGTCCCATTTAAATGAATAATTAGTACTCATTTATTATAAGTAAAAAGCACAGGGTAAGCTGCACACTCAACGTGTTCATAGAAACCGTAAATTGTAATAAATTATTGTAAATAAGTATTCTAAATGTGAGAAGGTGATAAATGGATTTTAATTTTTAACAGTTTGTGAGGTCATTTAATATAATATGTTCTCCTAAATCTTTCCGTAAAAATGACAGTATTATTATTCCTTTCGTAATAAGGTTGAGTAATGATGGCGTTAAACCTCTACTTAGTCGTAATATTCATATCTTTTATTCCATTTAAATACGTAATAAACATTATCAATCGCCTGACTTCCTGAAAATCACGTGACTAAACGTCGGATTTTTATTGTAATAAAATATTTTCTATCTGTATCTTCACGCCGAGGAGCTCGATGGCACAGTGGTTAGCGCGCTTGGGCTTTGACAAGCTTGTTAAGCAACTTTCGCAATGTCCAGTCATAGGATGGGTGACCAAAACTTATTATCTCGAACCCCTCTGTGCTCCAGAAAGCACGTTAATCCGTTGATTTCGGCTGCATCTACAGTCATTAATACTCACTAATCAACACTGGCCCCCGTGGTAGTGAAGCGCTGGTTTGTAGATGGGAGTGAGAAGCACCTCCAGGATTCAGGTAAAAAGATTAAAACAAAATAATGTTTTAACAACTTTTTTTTTATTTCTCAGGGGCTAGGTACAGATTCGTTTGCTACGGTGGTGACTTTTTTTGGGGAGGACTTATCTTTAAAGTAGAATAGGGGATTTAGTGTAGAGTTCGCGGTGTCAGGCTTGCAAGGGTAGACCCGATGTCAGCTCCGGTCAGCAGCACTGGTGAACAAAGACTCGAGCGTAGGATGCAGAGTAGCATAGATGAGGCGGGCTCCGATGGATGAACCCTGTTTACATAAACACAGCCCTTGAACAGAAGTCCAATAAGTCCGCCTACCTGTGGCCCGGAACATTTAAGATAGCTGCAGTTGCTATAGCTTCTATAAAATCTACCCGATAAAAAATATAAGAATGCGTGTTTCAAATGATATTAAAAATCATTAAGAATGAAGTTAAAATAAAAGTAGATATGATAATAATCTGTAAGTTAAAAAAATACAAATATTATTATATTATATGCGGTTGCCTGGAAGAAATTGCTTTTTAGCGATATGGCCGCCGATTGTACCACTAAATTGTATCGATTCTCCTTTTGTTTAATTATGGTGTACAATAAAGTATTCATTCATTCATTATATTAAAACACACGGGAATTGAATCCGTAGTTCAAGTAAAATTAAAGCATTAAGTGTTCCATTTAAAATCGTCTAAATTTCAAGGTTGTCAAATATTATTTATAGCACAACCCGGGAATCGAACCTGAGAACGAAATAAAATCACGAATTGAAACTAAAATAACTAGCATTCGGGCAATGTATCGATTATATATAATTTTTGGCAGACAACATTAAATATCAAATCAGTAAGGTAGAAAAACAATAAAATGTTAATTTTGCGTAGTCTCAGAACTCAGTTTTGTTTCAATATAATGATTTATATTGGATTTTATGCATGTTATTATAAGTATAGCAAAAATTCTATAATGTTTCCTTAAACATCTATTTCACATTTATTGCAATAAAATAAAATACTTTCGCACATTTGGTTAAGAACCAGATCTTCATCTCAGAATTAAATGTTCAATGAAAACGTTAAATATTATAAACCAACGAAATAGTTTGAGAATTCAAAGTTACTTATTGGACTTGTGATTAAAAATAAAACACTTCAAGGTAATAACTTGTCTGTCTACCTCCATAATATAATTTTTACCAATATACCTAAAATTATTTTTATTGATTATTTTTTTCTTTAAATTAATTTGTATCAAAACGTAAGAAGAAATGAAAACATGCAATAGACAAACAGTTTATTTAGAATACTGTTACAGAGGGTGATGGATTATTCTTCTTATCCGATTTTTATTCGATTCCATCATAGGGAAGGCCTGAACCCAGTGGGGAAATTGATAGACTGATGATGATGATTTTCACCCTAGAACCATCGCAAGGTAGACAGAGAGGGCTAAGAGCCCAAGAGCACGGTCATTTTCACTTTCTCGGCGTTCATTACCCTTTCGTACGTAGTCCGCTTTTTTATGACTTGTGACACATATTCAAATATCTATATGACATAGTATAAAACAAAATCACTTTCCGCTGTCGGTACATTGAGACCTTTAAAATTATACAACAGATTTTAATACGGTTTCCAACAACAGACGCGGTGATACACGGGAAAGGTTTATATGTATATTAAAGAACCACGCGGGTGAAGCCGTTGGCGAAAAACTAGTTTACGTAATATATTTATCAACATTGTACTTTCTTATTGCAGGGGCTTAGGCCTTCCTTGTGGATGGTTAAGGAGGATGGGTCATTACCCTGCACGCTGGCCAAATACGGATAAAGGGTAATAACTACTGCTAATGCAGCCGGAACTCTTTACATGTCTGTTTTACGAAGCACGAAGTAGCTTGAGATAATAAATTTTTGGTTACCCATCCCATGACCAACCCTTGCGAAATTTGCTTCACAACAACGATCGCAGGCCGCGATGCTTAACCACTACGCCACCGAGCTTCCCATATTGACTTCCCATATTCTAAACTAGTATTGACAATTCGCTTATTTATCTAATATTCATATACTAGAAGTTGGTACTGTTAGATATTATAGTTTCTTGAACAGTAATAGCGCTACGTAGGAAGTTAGAATTGGGCTAAAATTAGATATCTGAATAGGAATTGGTCTGTCGCATACTGCATGGCGAAGTTGTTTGAAATTCTATTGACAATAATTTGATAGTATTCCAAATTTAGTCCAACCAAAGTAAGTGTGACGTCTACACTTTAATTGTGAGTTAGTTGGGTATTAAATAATCCGGTGCCGCTAGCCCGCTCCGCTTGTAGACAGTGACAGACATAATCTTTTTGCCAGTGCATAGAGGAGGCGGACAGGATTACCACAATTATCATACTAATTTGCCATACATACCTATCAGTAAGTATGAATGGAACGCTAAGCTTTGAAGTCTTTTAAACAACATTGTTATTTATTTTTCTGGCTTCGCGAACGCAAATTACATGTAGGAATTTCCGAGTAGGTTGATTCACTCTGTATATCGATGAAAATCATATTAGCATCCGTTGTGAAGTTTAAAAGATCTCAACATACTGACAGCGGGAAGGAAAAACCTAATAGATATTACAAATATTATTTCAATAAAAAATATGGCGCATCATCTTTACGAAGATCGTTTGATTTAGTTTCTTTTTTTTATTTCTGGTTACTCGATTACTTAATTACTCGATTGT